CTTAAAAAATCATTTTCGGAACCTGGATGAACCAAAAAAATATATGGTCGAATTTGATTAGGAAAAAAAAAACAGTTGTCAAAACATTTTATTTCATCCTTCGTATTCTAGTTGACTTGTATTGCTAAAGGGTCCGAATCGAAATAAAATGATTGTCTTAGAATTGTATCAAATAAAAAGTCACACATCCAGTAAAAATAAATACTGAAGAAGGATAATTCTTTGACCAAAAAAAAAAAAGAAGAAGGATAATTCTCTCCAATTTCGCTATTCTTTTTTACACTTTAGTAGTTCATTGATTTCATCAAAATCATTATAAAATAAAATTATAGTGTTATCAGAACTAGTGTCGATGAGTAACTCCGTCAAGTTCAAAATTTCGCGATTTTATGGAACATGGAATTTTACTCTATTGCATTCAGGGGTAAAATTTATGATTATGCAACAAAAAAAATGCATAAACGTTGTTGGATCAAAAGCTAAACATAATTACAAATGATCATCGGGACGAGATGCAGAAAAAAAAAAAAACAGATCATTCGTATAATTAAGCCTTACAAACAAAGTCGTAGACAAAAAATTATTCTTAAACCAATAAAAAAAAGATTTGGAATAATTTTTTTTTTTGGATAACTCATGGTAAATCTCAACCCTATCACCCAGACTAATTCGTGGGAAAGGTGCATCCCATGGATAGACCCTCTCTCCGGATATTTAAATGGACTGAAAGCAAATGCCCATATCCATGTAGGTATCCGGATAATGTGATTTAGTTTCGCGTAGAACGTGGATCGAACCTGGAACGTGTTGGCGTCCCAGTCCCGTCTCCTTACCATTCGACCACAGTGTCCCGTGTCCCAGACAAGTCGAGTTGCATAACTTATTCCCAGATTTGGAATAAGTTAGTAAATAATTTTATGTCTTTTTTATCAACAGTAAATACGTTCCATCTTCTATTAAATCGTAAAAAAACCTATATTATATATGTGTATTTAAAGAAATTAATTAATAATATTTGTGTATGTATTTTTTGTTACTATTTAAACCGTCATGTACCTAATCCATCCTGCACTGCACCGCGCTATCACAATTCTGATGTAATAAAATAATTCTAATTATGAAATAATAACCAACTATGCTTTGTTATTTTATTTATATGTTGTGATGTAATTTTGCTTATAAGATAAATGTTTAATTTATATAATATCATAATTTTATAAATGTTTTGCCAAAAATTTAAATAAAATAGAAAGAAAATATATTTGCAATATCTTTTGGGGTTTAAAGGAGAGTATTGTGTTGGAGAAAGAAATCCAACTACATTATGGAGAAATGCATTGAAGATAATCTAATATGCTCTCTGGTCAAGTATAAACCCATATTGGAACGTGACTCTTTAAGATGGATACAACTCTGATTAAAATGGCATTTCAACTCACAGTAAACTAGATTTGGAGAGAAAAGAATGGAAGACGCCATCAAACTCCAAACACCCCTCTATTTATTGCTTAGGATATTCATAAGGACCTTAAGAGCCGACTTTTCTCTCGTATGTGAAGAGTAAATGGGGATGAAGAAGAAGAAGACTATGAACTTAGTCGCTGGATTGAAGTCTCCCAACCCCCAACTTAGAAGCAGCTCTTGTATAAAGCACAACGTGAATTGCTTTTGATTACTTTGTTTCTTTTTATATTATATTTGTTCTGGTTTTTGGATTTCAAATTCTCAATATCTCTTGGCTAATAATGCTTAAAACTAAAAATATGTAATCAGTTTTTTTGTTGGATTAGTAAATTTAAAATTCTAACAAAAGAAAAAAAAAGGGAAAAAACGTACATCGGTTATACACATGGTCGTTGAATTATCTAGAGTATTCCAACACCTAATGGTCGGCTATGTAAGCAATCCCAAACCTAGAT